AAACACATCATAGTAAAATTAATACCTTCTCAGCTTCGCATCGAAGCTAAAAATAATCTATTTTTTATCTTGAATAATTGTAAATTTGATATATCAAAACATTCTCAACTTAAAAAAGTAGTCTTTAAAAACTCCTTTCAAATTTTTAATAATAAGTTTAAAAAATTATTTAAAATTTGTTTTTAGGATATTGGTACAAAAATTTACTATTAAAATATTAGTATACTTTTTAGATGTAAGAAAAAAATGATTAACTAGAAATTAATAATACTCTTGTTATTGCAATAAATGGCCTACACAAATAATAATAACATTTATTACATGATGTCTAGGTAAATTAGCCATTAAAAGAGTATTATATGAAATTTGAGGAACAATAACTGGAGGAAACATAAATAAAGAGAATACATCATATAGTAGAAGGAGACTTGCATAATATACGCAAAGATTATGATACATCATACTTAATTAAGAAATATGAAAATGATTCAATTAGTATAGAACTTTGTGTTGAACTTCTAAATAAAAAGGGTAGCACAGTGGAGTTGCTGCACAGTGTAGAAGGTGGCATATTTATAGTGGACAAATATAAATGATATCTGACAGTGATTAAAATCACTATCATAAAAAACGCTTCGATGCAAATCTGAAGAAAATTTTTAATTTAAAAAACTGGTGGATTATTCCAAAAGCAAAATTAACTCCTAGTTTTTGTTCAACTTTGACTGCCATTTGCACATAGAGATAGGTCGGCGGGACATTTTTTTTTTGAACTTATAGTATTTATTGTAAGGTTTAATTTAACATATATTTAAAGTTCGGAATATTTCCGGAACATTTTCAAAAGGTAAGTTGAAAAATTTTTACTTTTTACTCGTATTTTTTAAAATTTAAACCCCCTTTATATAAAGGAAAATGGTCCGAAAAAATAGTATGACGGATAAAAGACATATATATATATATATATATATATAATTTATTTCGAAACAATAATTTATATTGATCCATACATTTTTCGAAAAGTTATAGTAATTTAAAGTTGAAAAAATAAAATATGAAATTGTAAATTTTAACACCAAAATTGCATGTTTTATAACTACGGCAACCAATTACACATAGAAAATAAAGTCGTCGGGTCAAATTTTTTTTTTACTTATAGTGCATAACATTAGCTTTATTTTAACATATGTTTAAAGCTCGGAGTATTTCAGGAACATTTTCAAAGCTTAAGTTGAAAAAGTTGCCATATTGAAACCCTCCCTATGGGCAGGTAAAGGGTCAAATGTTTACAAAAATATATCAAATGATAGTGAAATACCTAAGGTATCTATAAAAAAAAAAAATTATATTGATTTATTCACTTTTAAAAAAGTTATGGCAGTTTTAAGAAAAAAAATTGAAAAAATGTTGAAAATTACAGATTTTTAAAATTGTTATTTTTTGGGGGATTTCCTTTATTTACCGGAAACGAGGTAATTTTTTTCAATTTTTGAGGGTAATGTCTTCAACTAGATACGATTTGTGATCTTTTGACGTTTTGTTGAGAAAAATTGATTAATAAAAAAATAAATAAACACATCATGATAAAAATTAATACCTTCTAAGCTTCGCATCAAAGCTAAAAGGTAACAAAAAAACTGTACTATAGACAATCAACAATTTTTGTGTCATATTAATGAATCATTACCAAAAAAATATATTTCTACTATTTGGAAATGATATAGTTTGTATATATATACTCATGTCTTAAATGCATAGTTTTCTTGAGTGATATTGTCAATTCAGATGTTTTAAACATAAATAAAACAGAATGATCATTTATGCTGTGTAAAAAAAAATAACTACTAAAAATTCTTTATAATTGACTTATATTATTTTTTTATGACTACATTATATTTATATGTTACTTAAAAGTAATGAATAATTTAAAAAGTATTTTGTTATGATTATTGAACTTTCAATCAAACTTGTTACTTTGACTTATTTTAACTATATAAAGACATTTAATGATAACATAAATCATGATAACAGGGAAATTATAATGATATGAATCCACATGATTTTTCATAGAGCTATAAACATTTATAAGATTAATTGATTTTTTTTGCGGAAATCCATTCATAAAAAAAGTTTTTATCAAACATTTATTCAATTTTTTTAGTTGATAAAACAGTGTCACCATAGTAAAAATATAAAAAGTGTATCATTAATTGTATCAGATACTGTGAATGTGATAGTAATTATGTACGTTTCTTCCATGAATTTGTGCTATAAACAAAATAATACTTAAAAATGGTTTATCAACAAACAAATCTTATAACACTTTGCAAGAATTCGATTTACGCGGTTTAGGTCATAACGTTTTTTTCTAACGGAATTCTCATGTTGGACACGTTTATACCATCAAATATTTGTCGATCAGATGAATTTTGAATACAATTGTATATTGTATGAACAATATCTGTGACTTTTAAATACAAATAAGTTTTTTTTATTCGTAAGATATTAACTTGATCGATTATCATTATAATACTTAAAATATTGTAATATATCTAAAAACAAGTGTTTTTCAATAACTTACCCAATATATATATATATGATAAAACTTTATTATAAAAGGATTTTAAATTTTAACAATCATATTTTTGTGTAATCCATACCTCTTTCAACCATATCATCTTGTAAGGTAATCTAGACTAAAAATATAGTTTTTTAATTTAGGGAAGTTTTAATAATCCATGTTTGTAATTCTTACTTTAGTAGCTGATATTATGTTATGATAGTTACATCATAAAGTTTTGTGGATATAACTCTTAAAAAATGTTATATGAAAACTATTGAGAATATAATTTCTAATTATCTTCTAGTTGAAATTTATTTTTACTCTTATCAAATNCTATTGAGAATATGATTTCTAATTATTTTCTAGATGAAATTTATTTTTACTCTTATTAAATTTTTTTTTTCCGTTAAGTCATTTAATAAGTAATTATTATTTTTATAATAGTTTCATAAGTTTTTTAATAACTTGACATATTTTATATGTATATATAATTTTTGTAAAACATTGTATTTTACTGTATGTCAGTGTTATTTAATAACCTTATTGACATATTTATTTCTTTCCTTTTTTTAATGTTAAATGTGACATTACATTTAAAAAAAAATGTTTTTGAAAACACAAATGTATACATTTACGATTAATAGATGGTAAAAGTTGCCATTTTTTAAATTTATTGTTCAATCAACAAAAGTGTTAATATAAAAAGAAATACATACAATTTATTTTGCTTCAATTGAAATTTCATTTATGGCATTACTAATTATTACAGGTTTGGCTAGCATTTAATTCAGCACAATATATTTTTAAAAATTGAAATTAATAAAAACTTTTTTGCAGATTCAAAATTGTCTAAAAGTTAATTTTTTGTATTAATTGTAAGAATGAAATTGCAATATATAAGAATGGACCATTCTTCCTTAATTTTTAAAAAATTAAGTTTATTTTAACTTTTATTTTTTCAGATTAAAATGGGTTTAGAACGTAAAAGAAAATCAATAGATGTTCTACAAAGTTCAGATAAAAAAAAAAAGAATATTAAAAATGACTCATCAGAAGAAGATTCGTCAGATGATCAACAGTCTGAACATGATAATGGAGTTGTTGATGAAGAAATTAATAAAGATATTCCAACTAATATTCGGTGGCCATGTGATGACATTCAAAAATTACTATCTCAAATTGAAATATTGCTCCCAAAAAATGATGGTAGTACATTTCGTACAAGATTATCTAAAATTGATTGGGAAAAGGTTAAGTTTGGTAAATATGATAAAGATGAATGTCAAACAACATGGATGGCTATCCAAGATCAATTAAAAACATTTAAAACTTTGGGTGATCTTGTAAAAGATGCAAAAAATCTGTTAGCCACTAAAGGTATTGATACTAATCAATCAAAGCAAAATCGTATACAGAAACCCAAAAGTGCTTATATGTTGTTTTATACTGATTATTTTCATAAGTATAAAAAAAAAAATCCAGACATGAAATTACCTCAGCTGACACAAATAATTGCAGATAAGTATAAGTGCTTATCGCCAGAAAAGAAGCAAACATTTGTTGACAGAGCTAATAAATTAAAGACTGATTATCAAGTACTAATGGCTAAATCAAACAGTGGTTTAAAATCTAAAGTAGAATCAACTAAACCAAAAACTCCTTTTCAAGTATACTTAGAAGCAAAATATGAAAATTTAGAAGCTCCATTTGAAAAATCAGAAGTTCTTAATCATTATAAAGAAAAATGGGAAAATATGTCTGAAAAAAAAAAATCAAAGTGGATTAAATTAGCAAAAGACCGTGAAGATGTATATTTAGGCCATCTTAAGGAAGACCATAAAGATGATCCTGCCTTTACTATGCCTACTAAAAGCGCACTTACTAAAGGAGATAGAAAAATTTTAGATTCTCTGTCAGGAATACCAAAAAAACCACCTGTTAACAATTATGGTCTTTTTTCCAAAGAGATGTTACAAAGTGATTCTTTAGCTGGAATTCCACCTAAAGAAAAAATGGCAACTGTTGCTAAAAAATGGAAAGAATTTTCAGAAGAAGAAAAACAAATTTACACTGATAAATTAAAAATTCTTACTGATCGTTATCGGACAGAATTTGATGCTTACTTAAAAACACTACCAGAAGAAGAACGACAGCTTGAAATGAATAAAGCTAAAGTCAAACCTAAGAAAGTTGAACCAAAAATTGTTCCACGTATAAATGCTAGAGAAGGTATACCTGAAAAACCAAAAAAAACTGCACCAAAAACTGTATCCAAATATAATTCGAAAACTAAAGTTTTTGATGGTGAACCACAAGCTATTCCTTTTAAAAAACCACTTGATTTATTCAAAAATCACTTAAAAAATAATCCTAAGTATAAACCAAAAAAATCATTTGAAACCCAAGCAATAGCTGAATGGACTGCATTATCTGATCGTAAAAAGTTAGTTTTTGAAAATGAATTAAAGGGTCTTAAAAAGGAATACATGAAAAATTTGAAAGAATTTTTGGGTTCACTTTCTGCAGATGATTTAAAGCTTTACCTTAAACTTAGGAAACCTGAATTGATTAATGATTCTAAAGAAAAGTCTGATGACATGTCTAGTGTATCAGGTTCTTCAAGTTCATCTGAAGATGATGAAGAAGAAGAAAGTGACGCAGAAGATGAAGTAGAGAACAGTGAAATTTATTAGTTTTACTAAAATTAAAATATAACCTTCTTCTAACTGAGTTGTATTAGTTTTATCAATTTTATTTAACTCTATTTGACTCATTTATTATATAAACTTTTTCACTATTATTGAGTACCAATTTTATTCATTTGATGTTTAAAAAAAAAATTAATTAATATGTTGCTAAATGTATTGTATAACCTTTTTTTTTTCTTTTTCATTTCATTTTGTACATTCTTGGGTAGTTTTGTACTATAGTATTTTATATTTACTTATGTTTAATGGGTTTTTATGTATACACTGTTAAATATAATTAAAAATTAAAACTAATTATTTCTTTATAATTTAACATTCAAAAGGGTAATAAGGATATACTAAAACATGTTTGAAACAGTAAATTTTATATTCTTTGTTAAATATTTACAAAGTAGTTTTTAAAACAGTTTTTATTTACATACATAATTTGTTAACCCAAATTGTAACAACTAAGTAAGCTCCATACTCATTTTTTTTTTTCTTAAATTTTAGTTATTTTTTATTTTTTTAAGTATAAGTGTACACATTAGTGTTATAAATAAAATGATAAACATTTAATTTTATCAGTTTTTTTTATTAATATATATATGTTATACAAGATATTTTATTAAAATTTTTTCTGGTGAAAACATTTTTGTAAAACTTCCTTAAAATGTGATAAGTGTATTTTGTTAGGCATTATCGATTCATAATTGGTTTACTGAATTTCACTACTTGTCTTATCTAAACTTTATTACTTAATAATGTTTAAAGAAAATTTTACAATCAAAAAATATTAAATTTTTTATTCGTTTGAAATAATTTGAAAAATTGTTCATAGAATTATTGGAGCATTAATCTTAATTATAATATTTTAAAGGTATTATTATGTATAAATAAGGATCAGTTTCTCATTCAATTAGAGATTGTTTTAATACTGTACTCAGTTAATAAGCCCAAGTTTGTACAAGTGATCATTAAAAATAATCCTCGAACCACTAAATTGGTATGTTAAGGAAAGTAAATATTAAGGCGCCATTAATATTTACTTTAAAAAATAATTCTAAAATCTGAATACTTACTAAAATACATTTATTATTATAGGCAAATGTACAGTTGGATCGATTTTTATCAATTCGTATATTTTAGTAAAAAATGTAATGTCAATTAGTGAAAATTTATTAATAGACCTGTATATTGCTGTACATGTTTTCATTTAATTGATTTATAATACAATGTTGACCACTGTTTATCTAATATCTGTAATAAAATCTTAAAACATTATTTTACATCCATTACTCTTAAGACTTATTTTTAAGAAGTTTTTAGGAAATAAGATGAATAATAATGAATCTATATTTATTCTGTTATCTAGGTTAAAATTTTTTCACTAACTTAAGAAATCAAAAATATTAATATTCGAATGATTTCACGAGAATCTATTTGAGGAGTTTTTTTACTTATTTCAAATTATTATTTGAAATACAAGTGGAAATTTAGGATAAGGATGACCGACCCCAAGTAGTTGGAATTATGGCGAGTAAGAAGAAGAAGACTTTTATTGAGTATTTCAACTTTTTACGTACTCCTGAAAAATTGGAAGTATATAGATGGTAACATAGGTGCAATTAAACTAAAAAGAACATGTTATTTCAATTGGTCAATTATTGGAACCCTTTTTAAATTAAATATAGTATCTTTCACAGTTAAAGAATAATTAAAATTTTTGCAAAAATATAAATTAGATAACCTGATTATACTATTATTATAAGTTCTCCAATAAATATATACTTTATCCTACAATGTTCTGCATTCTGAAAATAATCCAGAAACCTTTCTCCACAAAAAATTCTTAAATACTGTTGTAGAATAGTAGTGTTAAGAAATAGCAGTCACTGTTACTATTTACAGTGTTTCATAAAATAACATTAAATGTTTCTGTTATTCGTTTATAAAACAGTAGTGCATTGAGAAATTCTGTTTTTGATAAATTTTATCAATTAACACGGAATACTCCTAATGTTTATGATGCGTTGATATAAGATTATGCAACAGCGAAGAAAAAAAATTAAATTAAACTTGAATTATAACCAGTACTATCCAGATTAAAATGATATTTAATAATAAATACCTTTCGATATTAGAATTAAAACGGCGGACTGCTTAAGCACACATAAAACGTCAGAAACAAGAGAAAGAGTTCACCACCGTAGCTCGGTGGTCGACCGCCCTCTAGTAGATATAATTTGCACCTTAACAAGTGGCAAATGTACTCAAATCGGACTGCGCTCGTCATTTATTGAAGCGGCTAATGAAAGAGGCAAGATGACCATCTATTAAACGTATCGCAAAATATACGGTACCATGTCATGATTACTGGTATTCTTGATTTCTGATAAAATTAGCAGTCACTGCAATTTTCACTATGATTTTTTTTATCATATTAGCATTTTCACACAGTGAAAAATTTCATAGAAAACACTTGTTTTGTAAAGGGCCAGCTGAAAATTATATTCTAAAGGCCCTTACATTAGATACTTAGAGAAAATAAAATTTATCCCTTTTTATCATTTATTTTATAAAATTGTGAAAACAATTGAAACAAACTTCATTTGTGTTTTTAATTCATGATCAACAAAAGTAGTATTTTTTAATAGCTACTATTAATAGCGATACCTCGAGTGTAAAGATCTATGACGTATTTGTTGTTTTGCGCAGTAATGTCAACAAACATTTTTTTAAGGTCAATTTGTTATAAAAAATATTTAATTCTTTGAAACAATATTTATAAGTTTAAATGTTGGTCCAATAACTAAATTTAAATTACTTTTATTGTACTAATTTTATCATATTCCTTAAATTTTTATAATGAATACTTTATTTAGTTACTATTTATCCTAAACCCTTGTGAATTATAATAATTCATCAATCATAACTTGCTAACTTAACATATAATTAACCATACTAAATTTTTTCTTTGAAAACAAATAGTTCAATGATTTAAAAAATTCAATTTTGTCTAATTGCCACTTATGAATATTAAATTATTAGTTTAAATACTTCAAGCATGTTTTTTTGAGAAGGGCTGACATATAGCTTAAGATTTTAGTAAAAAATTAAGCTATTCATTATGATATTTTTGGGCGGTAGTCATTGCTCTTACTTATACAAAGTTACATTGACATTTTTTTACTCGTTTGTTACAAACATACTATAGCACCCAAATCACGATTATGGCTGTATTCAGGAGTGTAATTTTTGGGGGTCCTATAATTTTTTTAATTTTTCTGCAAGGCTATCATCGTTTCTGACTCCTTTATAACCAAATTTTAGTTTCTATTACTAGGGTCATGATGCTAAAGGGGAAGGGGTAATGGGTCGCCAAATAAAATATGAACACATTTTTTTTTGGTTAAGATATATTTTATCTAAAAATATATCAAATAGGTTACAGTTAGCAAGGCCTTTTTTTTACTTATAAAAATAAGCGCAAAAAATTCACTTTCAAATTAATTTACTACTTGCTACAGGCATTTTTCATTTCAGAGCGGACGAAGTGCACATACACAAGCTGTACCCATCCACCCTACATACCCACTCTATATACTAAAATGCTTGTAACTCAATAAGTAATAATCCTTAAGTTGTTATCCAATCCAACAACATTTTTTGTAAAGGCTAAAATCGCTATTTTGAAATTTTGAAAAAAATTAAGAAATACAATTTATTATCCTGGTTAGATAGAAAAACTTAAAATTGTCTTTCACAATATTAAATATTTCTGAATTTCTGTACTTGGCTCAATACAAACAATAAATAACTTCTATGATTTTCAAGCATAGAAGGAAAATCATTCTATTTAAAGTATCTACTTATTTCAGTCTAGAGACTTTTATTAAAAACTTATCCATGACAAATTATATAAATCGTAAAATAAAAATATTATTGAAGTCTAACATAAACACACAAGAAAAATAAAAATATGATAGCTGATAACAGAGAATGATTATGCACTGGCCCTAAATAATTAAATAATTTTATAATATATAACAGTAATAATAGGAAAGACATGACTATAAATAGCTCTCTATGAAAAACGAGATAGCTTTTTGATATCCAGTCAACAAGCTTTCGTATATTTAATCAGAGTCAATATGCTTATCTTCATTTAGTGGTTCTCAGTCAATAAAAACTTTTTTTGAATTGACTGATCAATAAAACACAACGAATTATTTAGTAATTATATAATATTTTGCGTACATAATCAAGAAATAGTTAGCAAAAATTTATCATTGAACACATTAAAATTTGAAGATCAACAAAATTATATTTTTGCAACTCCATAAAAACAGCCCTGTTTATAATCATATTATGTGTTAATTATATTTCATCAAGTTCATAAAAGAAATGGCGTATCAATAAAGGCTAACGGTTAAAACTCACTTCATTAGTGACAAAAAATTATTATTTTGATAATATCAAACCTTTTGAAAAATCCTATGTNTTATTATTTTGATAATAGCAAGCCTTTTGAAAAATCCTATGAACGCTACTATAATATTATAATGTAGTGTAAAAGAAAATGTTGGGTTTTGTAGTGCGAGTTGAAAATTATTATTTGATTTATCTTTTGATTGTGTACTTAAATTTTTATAACGTTTAAAAGATGAACTGTACATATATGTTATTTAATAATATTTCAATTTTGCTAAGAAAAATTAAAAACGTCATATTTTATAGTTTTTAAAGTTGTGTAACGTATATGTAACGTAACACAAAGTGTGTGTTGTTTCGAAATGTAAAATTTAAAGTTATGCACGTCATACATTTTAGAAAGATAAAATTTAATCTTTTCGTGGGAGCCCCTAAGATGTTTTCGCCAACATAATGATAATAATTGTACAACATTTTTTGCTTATCAACCAAATTTTCATTGTATAATTACGTATTTTTTAAGTGTAATCAATTGGCTATACTTACGAAATACTATAACATATTTTATTCAAGTATATTTATAGCATAGGTTGGTCTATCTCTTAAGTGTCTTGTTGATTCCCTTTTTAGACGGAATAGAATCTTATTTTCAAAAATATCTAAAATATTTTATTATTAAATTTAATTTCGGTAATATACCTACATAATTTTTTTGCAATGTTTAGTACGAAATACGCTCGAGTTTTTCAAGTATAAAGATTTAAGCGTGCATTTAGAATATTCTCTAAAGTGTAATAAAACTAATGTCATGCGAAAATGTTCATGAGTCGATTGAAAAAACTAATGATGGAAAATATCGAACTATTCGATAGTTATGTAATCTATTCGAATAGTTAATTTATTTTCCATTTGATAGTTTTAATTAAATATTTTCATATGTTATACTGTATATATACAGAGTGATTGATGTATCGTTAACCAATAAATTTCTCCTAAAATAATAATAATTTCTCAATTTTTAAACTGTTTTATATATTTTAGGTATAT